AGCAATAATCTCCCCTTCTCCCCCCACCCACCCACTCCACCCCTGGTAACCACTAATAAACTTTGGTCTCTATACATTTGACTGTTCTTGTTCTTTTATATAAGTGAGGTCATATAATATTTATCCTTTTGTAATTGACTTATTTCACTCAGCATAATGTCTTCAAGCTCCATCCATATTGTAGCCTGTATCAAGACTTCATTTCTCCTCCTGGCTAAGTATATTCCATTGTATGCACGTACCACATTTTGTTTATCCATTCATCCGTTGACTGGCATTTAGGTTCTTTCCACCTTTTGGCTATTGTGAATAGTGCTGCGGTGAACATTGGTATACTAGTCTCTGTTTGAGTCTCTGCTTTCAAGTGTTTTGAATATATACCTAAGAGTGAAATTGCTGGATCATATGGTAGTTCTATTTTTAATTTTTTAAGAAATCACCACACTATTTTCCGCAATGGCTGTGCCATTTTGCATTCCCACCAGCAATGGATAAGTTTCCAATTTCCCCCTATTCTCACCAACATTTGTTATTTTTCTGTTTTTGTTTTTTATCTTAGCCATCCTAGTGGTAGTGAAATGGTATCTCATTGGGGTTTTGAATTGCATCTCTCTGATGGCTAATGGCATTGAGCATCTTTGTGTGTATTTGGTGGCCATTTGAATGTCCTCTTTGGTGAAATGGCTTTTCAAGCGCTTTGCCCATTTTTTGGATTGGATTATTTGTCTTTTTGTTGTTAAGTTGCCAGAGTTTTATATATATATTGGTTATTAGATTCTTGTCAGATATATGGTTTCCAAAGATATTCTCCCAGTCGGTAGCTTATCTTTTCACTTTTTTGGAAAGTCTTTTGATGAACAGAAATTTTTAATTTTTATGAGGTCCCATTTATTTATTTTGTCTTTTGCTGTTGTTGCTTTTGTTATTATATTTGCTAATCCATTGTTAAAAGCTAGGCCCAACAGTGTTGCTCCTGCTTTTTCTTCTAAGAACGTTATGATTTTAGTTTGCAAATTTAGGTCCTTAATCCATTTTGAATTTGTTTTTGTGTATAGTGTGAGGCATGGATCCTGTTTCATTTTTCTGTGTGTGGAATTCCAATTTTCCCAGCACCATTTATTGAAGAGACTCTTCCTTCCCCATCAGTTGGACTTAGAACTCTTGTCAAAAGTCAGTTGACCATAAATGTGTGGGTTTATTTCTGGACTCTCAGTTCTATTCCATTGGTCGATGTGTCTATTGTTATACCAGTACCAGGTGGTTTTGATTACTGTAGCTGTATAGTATGTTTTAAAATCAGGAAGTATGAGCTCTCCTACTTTGTTCTTCTCTTTCAACACTGCTTTAGCTATTCAGAGCCTCTTGCTATTCCATATAAAGATGAGCATTGGATTTTCCATTTCTGTACAGAAGGCTGTTGGAATTGTGATTGGGATTGCATTGAACCTATAGATCGCTTTGGGTGGTGTTGACACCTTAACAATATTCAGCCTTCCAGTCCATGAACACAGAACATCTTTCCATTTATTTAAGTCTTCTTTAATCTCTTTCAGCAGTGTTTTATAATTTTCATAGTATAATAAATTTATTCCTAGGTATTTTATTCTCTTAGATGCTATGGAAAATGGAATAGTTTGCTCAATAAGTATTATTGAATGAACGGTCAGTTGTCTGGGCTTTGGGAGAATGGCTACCTGTGTTCTGGAGTTCCTGCCTCAGAGTTCTTGGCCACCTGTTCTGCACGCCTCATTGGGGCCTGTTGACAGACACATCTCCTGGTCAATTGGTCATGAATCATGCTTACTTCAGCAGCTGAGCTCAAGAACAGGATGGCAAGGCACCTGTTGGTTGCCAGGGAACCTGTTCCAGGCCTCATCAGGCCTGGGGCCACCTTCTGCTCCCTCAAGGGGCCCTAGATAACAAAAAGTACTTTGAAGACTCTAGATTATGAGAGTGGGACTCTGTCTGATCTTTTTTGTACCCCAGCACCTGGCTCAGTGACAGGCACTCAGTAAATATTTGCTGAATGAATGAATGAGTGAGTGAATAAGTGATTGAATGACACCGGACCTCATTTTGGGTACATAAACCCTAAAATACTTCCCCTCTCATTTTTTTCCTATTTTTTTTTTTTTTTATTGTATTAAAACACATACAGCACAAAACTTGCCGTTCTAACCATCGTACATTTTCAGGTATACAAGTCCATGGCGTTTTATGCACCC